TAATTTGAGTTATAATTAATATGTATTTGTTACTTTATAGATTTAATACATATTTGTTGCTACTTTATGAACATTTTTACGCTTATACTGTGAGGTAAAAATGGCTGCTGCTATGATTTTCTACTGGTTTATGAGCTCGTTGCTGTCCTAATTTAGGATCTTCTTTTTAATAAATTCTTGAATATGTTAAAAAAAAAAGAGATAGAAAGGGGGCCCAGCAAGAATGTTTGCTCCGGGGCCCATGCTGGCTCTCGACATTCCTGCTTTTCATGCTAGTTTTCCTTGTTTTCATTACATTAGGATAGGCAGCTTTAATAGTGCATTAAAAACTAATGAATGTTACTTCACCAATGTAAGTTTCTAAAGACAAGCTATACTATTTTTTTTAAAAAGCTAACAAAAATTAATGTTATTCTTAAGGATACAAAACTTTTCCAAGTATAAAAAAACTAAGAATAGACTTACTTTTATTTTTGTCATTTATGAATTATTATATTACAAAGTTAAGCAGCACAGCTATATTTTCTTTTTTATCTTTCAAGAAAACTATAACTTACTTAGTCATTCATCAGGGTAACTTTAGTTTATTTCAAAAATGTAATTTGATTAAAATCATTAAACACCTTGTGATTTTATTAAATAACATTTTCCCATTTTACTTAGTCTCAAAACTTACAACTCAAAAATTCTATATTATTAGTTGTTGATGAGACAGGCGTTGGTTTAGTGGCTATAGCATGCTCGGTTTGTTAATCCAAGAGTTCATAGTTCGTGGCCCACTGCAACAAAAATGCACTCTGCACTTTGGATCTGTGTGTGCACTACAAAAGTGACATTTCCTTTGGTCTACAAGTTCAAAATTAGGGTTTGTTTTATGCAGATAACACTTTGTGTAGCTTTGCATGAAAAATACGAAATGAGCAAACTCTAATTTACAAGAAGGCTAATAAAATATTTGCAAGCCACAAACATAATAGCAGAAAGAAGAAATACTGTCTTAAGTAATTAAAAAAATTTTTTTGGAACAAACTGTTTAAAACTGGACCAATTATGCCATGCAAACAGGATGAGTTGACAGTTTTTATTAAACTCAATCAATATTAATCCTATAATTTAGATGAATAAAGTAGTTACAGTTTATCAGTTGAATGTAAAAATGATTTTGAAACAAAAGATGGTAATGTTCCACAAAATAATGTAGAGTTTTTAACTTTTATACAAATACCGTACATCAGACATTCCCAACCTGGGGTACATTTGGACTTCTCAGGGGGTACATAGGGGTCTGAGAGTATAACCATGGTTTACACTTTACATGGTGTTTTAATCTACAGTCAGACAAAGAGAGCAAACATAAATATACGCTCTTTAGACAAAAAGGTGTGATCATGGTGAACGTTGTGATGTTATTACTGTGCTACATTATAACTCATGTTTTCAATAAGTAATGTAGAACATAAGAAATACAGAACACCCTCATTACAAATCAGTTGATAAACTAGGGATCAGCCAACTGGGCAAGCTCTCCTCCCTCCATTAGTGCTTTGGGAGAGAATGCCCAAGGGGTACAGAGGAACAAAAAGGTTGGGAATCCCTGCCGTACATGTTGAAACACTGGGGTCACCAACTTACTAATTTTCAGAAAAAATGAGTTAAAATACAGATTACAAGAAAATGTTTTCTTACATATACAAGCATATGAAGGAGTACAGATTTCAGTGAGTAAAACTGATGTGACAGATTTATTATTCTATATTATTTTAATATTGATGTTTGTTTAAATTAAATTTATATTTAGAATTGTAAATAACTTTTTAAATATGTATTGCGAAACTCCCACCTATTCTCTAAAGTTGTAGAAGATTCTCGAGTGTAAGAATTAATAATAATGTGTGTATACATAAATGCCAGTGTAGCTTTGTATTGTTATGTAATCTGAATTTGAGAAACTCTCTACATGTCTATAAATATAACCAATGCAACGCGCTTAAAAAACAGTATCTATTATTGGTTTGCTGTAATTGGTGTGCTATAAACTTTGGAAGCTATTAACACTTATTAATTGGGAAACTTCAGATATTTGTCCAGGAATATTTATAAATTTCAAACATTACAAACCATTTAACTTCTGTGGATTCACATCAGACATTAGTACTTTTATGAAAACATACCTAACTTCAACGGTGGAAAACATCGGCGAAGAATACGGGGCTAGCTACCTCCCTATTAAGTGAATTGTACTTACGTCAACTTGAAATTAACTTGCTCATCATGAACCCTCGATAAGATATTAAGGAAGTTCCAGACTATAAAGAAGATCTTTTATTGTTTGTGAAACTTTTGTATATAAATCATTGTTTGTAATAACTGTTATTATAAATTGTATTATTGTTTGTATATTAAAATATATTTTAATTAAAAAAGAAAACTTTTTGTATCAATCTTGTTGGCAAACATCATAAACTGGCTATATGCCAGCCTTTATTTACCTACTAAGTCTAAATTACAATTTAACTCAGTTTTAGGCTATTTGAAATTGTGATACGTAACACTGAATAACTAAACCTACTTTAGCTACAATATATTCAAAATTGACTGAAATGAACAACACTTTAAGAAAAGCCTAATATGTTTTCATTAATGTTAAGTTTATATATATATTCTAGTTATAACAAGACCAATTATTCTCCATAAATAATGTTTTGAGCAGTGTACATTGAAACTTGGCAATTTAACTGCTCTGTTAAACAATTTGTATCCTTCCTTATGTTCAAACACAACTGAAACTGATCATATGTACTCGTATGTTTCCATTACCATGAAAATTCTCTTAGGCTGTAATACACTTGTATACAACAATTAATAAGATACATACTTTCTTTGTGTTTAAGTCATTCTACGTATTTCATGTAATTGAATTTCAGGCTGAAGAATCATGATGTACCTGCTTTTTGATTAGCATACTAGGACATTTCAATGAACTTCAAACACACAACTGAGTACCATGTCACAATACCTGATCCTCCCAGCAACATTCCTTTCTTTTTTTTCTTCTGATTTTTATCATCAACTTTGTTTCCCAACTGATTACTTAAATAGAGTCCCTCTGTAATAAAAAAAAAAAGAAATTCAGATATGTATACATCATAAGGTATTTATGAAACAGGACATGAAAAAAAAAAGATGTCAAATGCAAATTATACGTATTCAGAGAGATAGAAGAACTTCCAATAACAACTATATGCAACCAATTCATGTAATCACCCAATACTATTAGATCAGTGGTTCTCAAACATTTTTGTCCATGGACCACTTCAGCAGGACAAAGACCATTTCTATTCCACCCACTTTTGCTTGCCACAACAAAAAAACTCAGAATTAATGGAAAGAATGCAAATGATTTTGATGTGACTTGCACTTTGGACTAGCCAGCTGTCTACCTGGAGGACTCTCACTGAAACACCAGTGGTATGGAGACCACATATCGAGAACCACTGTATTAAATGATAAATTCAACAAAGATGTAGGTACATCTGAATAAATATTGGTATTGATTTGATTGCATTTTTATTAGGTATGTTTTAAAAGTGATCACCTATATCATGCTGCTTTTTAAGCAAAATTTCATTTTTTATAATTATATGAAATGACTATTCTGTGAATTCTAATGAAGATGAACCCAAACTAACTTGTAAGTAACTAGAACTGGTAACTAGAAATATCTGAAAAGTCTCTTTAGTCTAACTATATGATATGAATAATAAGCATTTATTTACAAGTTAAAACGTTAAGTTTAAATCCCCACTTCATCTGTAATAGGGGAAAAAATGGGATTAAAAGAAACTAGGTTTTCCATGACATTAAATGGTTATCTTGGGTTTAGTACAACAGTAGGGCTCAAATCATACAACTCATTCAAATACAGACAAAATTTACCTTGAGACACATACACATATGTATACCTAAACTGTACAAATTAAACAGGAAACAAGTCAAATACTGGCTGAACCCCCCTTGTGCAACCTTCACCTTTCATATTACAATTTGATAACAAAAGCCAATATAAACTTTCATGCCAATAACAGTAGTAAAAATGCTGCTTTGGTAAATAAAATGCAGTCCCTTTTTTCACTCTAACGTTAAACTTGATACCATACACCATGCATGTGACAGCATAAATAAATATTCAATGAGCCATAACTGTCTAAGGCTTCTTACTTTATTGTTTAGATAATTTTGCAAGCTAGTTTACTCACCAGAAAAATTTTCAGATCATACTTTCAAATTATTTAAGCAATTTCCAAACTACGGTTCAGGTGGGAAAAAAAAATTAATCTCTGCGACAAACCAGACATACATCTCATCATCAAATATCCAAACATTCTCTAAACCCGATGAATATATTTCATATATTAAACAGTTAAGCACACATTTAAATTTGTAATGAATAAAAAAAAAACAATTATTAGAAAAATTATTTTTTGACAAAAAGTTTTACATGATACTCCACATATAATGGATTTAGTGTTGTTGTTCTTTTAATGATAAAGCAAACTGTTAAATATTGTATTAATTTTATGTATAGGTGTGTATACATATATCAGTTAACCCATTAACTGTGGCAGGAGCAGCTCAGTTGCAGTTTTCTGACTCACAGATAAAACTGAGTTGGCATCAATCACAATAAAACAGTAATTATCGTCATTCACAAAGAGTTATAGTTATATATGTGCAACTCACGGATATTTCCGTCATTTGCAACTGAGCCATAGAACATCAATGACAGAAATATCCACCATCTGCAATTAATGGGTTAACAAGATTGGCTGTTAGTTTCTATTAACTCTTCACTATATAAACTTACCTGTATAGTTATACAATATTGCTTGGATGTTACAGTCACAGTATATGTCAATACAATTTAACCCTTTTGCTACTGCCTTGGTGGATTATACTAACCACTTGACCCCAAAGTGGCCATCAGAGTTTTCATACTATAACATTGTATGTGGGGTCAGTGTTAACTGTTCCAAGTGCAAAGTGATTTTCAACTTAAGTTTAAAATACTTTTCTTCATCTGAAAATTATCAAATTTCATTTATGTAATCTCTAAAACCTCATAAATAAATAGCAAGTGTTCTTTTTTCATTTTATATTGTATCCACTATTTTCTCTAACCTAATTCTATACATATTAGGTCAATTTAATCAAACTCGTAACCACTATAAATAAAAAGGAATAAGTGAGTAG